TCAACATTTGACTTTATTGGAATTTTAATCTATATTTCAATTTTACAGCATTGTTTTTGTTAAACTGAAAATATCCCTCAATTTTTCCAATGTTTATTTGTCCTCTAGTGCTAATTTATATGGGTACCAATTCATTAATTTGCTCAGCAGGGAGTAAACATCTTCCCTGGAGAGGAGGTGGCTGGGAAGGGGTTTCCAGTGAAGGAACTCATTTTTCTTGGTCTTCCTGGTGGGTGCTGGGGAAGGGTGTGCAGTTAGAGGGGCTGCATTTGCAGAAAAATGGCTGTGTGTGAGCTGGGGCTCTCAGGAATAGGAAGCAGGTAGGTGCAGCAGGTGGGTGTTCATGTGACAGTGGGAGGAGATAAGGACGAAGACCACACATAAGTAGTGAATGAATGAATGAATGATTGTGTATAGAAGTCCATACTCCTTCTCTAGGGTGGCTGTTCCTTCGCCAAGCAGACTCTGTTCTTTCTTCTGCTGCTTCTTAGTGAGCATAAGACTCAGTTAATATTTTCTTGCTCTGAGAAATTTCTCAGCAATGGGAGGAGAAAATACAATTCGCTTCAACATTAGCTCATATTTAAGCTGAGAATTCAGCATGAATTCCAGACATGGTTCATGTATTTTGGATAATCAGCATAGCTGTGCATGATAGGTAACCCTCTTTTTTTTCCTCCTTCAAATCTCTTTTGGTTAGGTTACCATGACTGAAGATTAATGACTTCCATTATTTTTTTCCCCTCATGCAGGAATCTCTAAACTAGTCTAAACTTTATACCAACTATCATATGAATCATGTCTACTACAGTTACCCCTTCTGTGTCACACTCTGGATTAGTTTTCCTTGCATGACACAGCAAAAAGCAGGGCAGGGTTAAAGGTGCCAAATGAGACCAGGCAAAAACTGATAATTACCAGTGACCGACATACCTCACTGTGCTGTTACTTTATAGGCCTTAAGGCAAAATCTTACTTACAAATATTAGTTGAAATGCAATATGTGATGTTACTAGACACATTTTGCCACATCTGGCAGTACATTAATTCACCTTCAGTTTTGATATTGTGTATGTTTATTGCTGCAAGCTTAATCCTAACAAAAATGACAATTTTATTTACTTTCGTTTTTAAAATGTTTTCTTTGAGACAGGATCTCACTCCATCACCGAGGCTGGGTGCAATGACACAACCATAGCTCACTGCAGACTCCAACTCCTGGACTCAAATCATCCTCCCACCTCAGCCTCCCAAGTAGCTGGGACTACAGGTGTGTGCTATCATGCCCAACTATTTATTTATTTATTTATACTTTTTCCAGAGATGGGGTCTTGCTATGTTGCCCAGGCTGGTCTTAAACTCCTGGACTCAAGTGATCCTCCCGCCTTGGCCTTCTGAAAAGCTAGGATTATAGGGGCTAACCACCATGCCTAGCTGACAGTTTTCTTTTACTGAGAAGTCACTATCTAATAGACTTAGTTCTCAGCATGTATTTGTCCATTTAATCTTCGCACCAGCCTAAGCGGTAGTTACCCTATGTGGCACCCTTTTATATAGGAGGAAACAGAGGCATAATGCTGTTAAGTAGCTTGCTCAAGGTCCAACAATTAAGAGTCAGAGCTGGGATCTGAACCCACGTAGCCTGACTCCAGAGTTTCTTCCAACCACCATGTTATACTGCTTTACATGTAGTTTGAAGCAAAGAAGTGGTTATAGCATCAAATATTAAGAATGCATTCCACACATTTTTCCTATTAAATGTAGTTGCCAGTTTTTGTATATGTCATTGCCCTAATGCTTTTGAGAAACTTAGACACAGAGCAAGACCACAAATCAATAGATTCTTCTGTTCAGGTCTCATTACCTAGAAGAGTTTTGACCACAATGTATGAGTACCAAAGGTTGATGGTTTATGTTAATTTTAAGTGTAATATATTTTAGAATTCTCTCACATGCATTATTAGTATCATTTCATATTTATGACCTTAGGAGAGACTGATTTAAACAATAACAACCACAACAAAATACAACAAAAAATGTCCCCCCTGTGCCAAGAGCAAATTTTAATTTGAGGTCCATTTGTCCAGATAAAATATTTTGCCATCTGAACCAAGAACATGAGCTTTATCCTTATAGTGACCACACACTCCCATCTCTAGTATCACGATTTTTAATTTGAATTAAAACTTTTTTTTTGGTTTGTTAAGGTGAGGCAGGCCTTCCTGCTGACATTTTAAAAAGCAACTATTTTTATTTCAGTTTACTCTACAAGGCACTGGCTCCAACTGTCAGCATTGAAACTCAGCAGTTCCCTACCAGGAAACTCATTCCGAGATCTAAGGTTTCCTTAGGTAGAGGCTGGCACTATGAAAATAATGGGGCTATTTGTCCATGCCACCTGGAGAGGAGGTAATGCCCTGCCAGTCTTAGTTGCTTTGACATGTTAACATGATGGGTCTGAATGTTTTCTATAGTTTACTCATGAGTGACTTTTTTAGCTTACGTAAATAGCAAGACAGACAAATTAGCTTATGGATCTAGAAATCATTCTTGGCCCAGATTTTGAAACACTTTTCAGTTTACCATAGTTGCTCTAATATTTGAGAGTTGCTGACAGTGCTTGCTTCAGAAAAAGGTTTACTTTCTTAAGCAATTTTTCTTTTATTAGCATCATCTTAATTCTTGTTTGCGGGGTTGAGATTAAGGAAATATGAGCAGAGACTGCACTCAGCTATTTGGGTGACCCTTGTGTACCATGAACTTCTTAGACACTACCTGATGTGATCCCCAGAAAACATTAATCGATTGTGATAACTGGAGATAGTCTCTCTAGCCAGAACCTGCTAATACAAGTCTTGATGAATTGAGAATGATGCCTGCAGGAAGCGGACTCTGACATGGTACATTAATAATTTTAGGCAAAAGAAGACAATGCTATTAATATGTATATTTTTTAGTTTCCTCTTCCATTGCTTTGTTTTGCACAGGGTAATGTAAATAAATGTACACAGCATATTATGGTGGCTCAGGGTGGATAATAATGAGACATGATTTCCTTTGTTTCAGGGTGAGGTTGCCCCTGCTATGTGACAGCTCCAAGTATAAGTGTATTTCAATCCCCAGAAAAATGTCAAGTCCCAGTAACATGTTTCAGGTTATCATGATTATTATGATTATAGGAGGGGAAGGCAGTGCTGGTCTCTTGGAAATTTCTCATCATGAATGTGTTTTGGAGTGAATATTACTTACTAACAGATGAACAGCTTGAAGTTGAGTCAAACAAAACTTGCAGGGAGCCAGGGTTTGTAAGGGTCAGGGAGCCAGGGGACAGTGTAACTCAGTTGTATGTTCACACACAGAATGTACAAAAGCTGTGAAAGCTTCAACTCGAATGACTTTGTGGATGGTTGGTGGTGGTTGTCTTGGGCAGTAAGATAGTTTTCTTCAAAGTTGCAGGAGGTGAAGTCTTCCTATGGGACATTTCTGGACAAAAATACAAATGAAATGACTTAGATGCCTCAGTTTAGAGTATTCTTGGCCTTGTCTGTCAACAAATGGAGATTTGAACATGGGAATTCAAGGGGATTTTAATGGAATTTTATTAAGGAGATGGAGAATCAGGGAGTCAGTGTTGAAAATTCAGTAAAAGACTTGTTTTCCATCTCAGTCTGGATAATAATCTATGTTATCTTTGACTAACGGGAATAACAAGTCTAACAACCTGGCTTCCTTAGAAGTTTCCATTCTCACATAGTCACCGAAGGCAGCAACACTGTCAAATAAACAAAGGTTTAATTAAATAAAAATTATTTAAATGGAACCGAAATATTCTTCCCTGGCTAGCTACAGATTGGATAATTCAAAGAACATACCCTGGGGGGAAATTGCCAATGGATTACTTTTTCTGTTTTCCATCTACTGCCATGTTTTTCTTTCTGGTGTCAAATCTCAAGTTGAATTCAGTCAATTATCTACAGCCAACAAAAAGTACATAAATGTCTCTTTTGTTATTGTTTATATTTCACCACTAAACAAAGCAAGTTTTTCTTCCCAGCTTCTTCCCTTATGAGCTTATAAGTTCAACAACACAAATAAAATACTGTCTACATTCTATTGTCACTATGAAAGCATATGGATTGATTTAGTTATGTACAAGTTTTTTGCCAAGGTTTTTTGTTGCTAATGTTACACTTGCTACGAAATTTATTAAAGAAACACAATTTGCTGAGGATTTGGGAGGATCTGTCATTGGGTTAAGTACATTAAGTATCTAAGGGGTGTGGTGTTTGGGTTATGTGTATGTCAGTTTCATATATTTTTTTCTTTCTTATTTTAGTTGCATCTTTAATAATTTTGACTTTAAAATGTTTTCCACAGATCCTTTAATAACTGAAAATGTGTATGGTGTAACAAGTAGTTGGTATAATGAACACTAAAATGTAATGGGAAATAAGGCTAATATTGAAAAGAAAACAAAAAAAATCCTGGGGCAGGGGAGCAGTATTGATTATCTCTTAGGATTCTTAAGATTCTCTGTCCCGACCCTCCTACCAGGGAACATTCTTATGTGGTCTAAGTGTCAAAGGCCAGAGGAGCTGGGCAGTAACTTATCTTCCCAATTTTCTCTCTGAGCATAGATATTTTCTTTAAGAAACAAAAAACTTTTAACTGTGCTCCTGAAACTCATCCCTCTCTTCCCTGTCTCAGCCCCGTTGCCCCTTGTTTCTGTGGGTGGGTGAAAAGCTTACCCATCTGAAAAGGTAGCTCTGAAACTGTTCTGGAACATCCTCTATTTTCCTCCACAAATGATGGTTTTCAAGTTTATTTCAGATACATTAATTCTCCCCCTCCGCAGACTTAATAACAAATGATCCTCCACACAATTGGAATAGAAAAAGGTAAAATAAAATCGAAGCATATCTAGTTGCCTCAGCGACTTCATGCTTATCATTTTCAGTCAGCATTATTCTACTAAAAAGAAATAGAAAGATGAGAATTACCTCAGGCATTCGCTGCGGTGCCTGCCCTTTGGTTTCTGGGACGCCTCGGGTCCTGTAGCGCTGGCACAGCTGGGATTGCCAAGCCGGGAAGAGACCTTGCTCAGGTGTAGCTGCGTTTTCCCCAGATCACCTTCCTCTTCCCCTCTGACAAGGAATCTGTGATTTTTCTCTGGCCTTTAGCTGCAAAGTGATTCCAGATAAGTAGATTAATGTGTAGAATATCTCATCTGTGTTGTTCCAGTGCAGCCCTTTCAGCTTTCCAGAGCCAGTTAGACTTGTTGTGAGGAGCTAAGTGATTGGCTGGCTCTGGAGCTCAGTTTCATAGATTATAGCCCAGCGTACGAGAGGCACGAGTCCTCTAGTTGCCGTATCCAGAGGCCTGCCAGTTCCTGCCTTAATGCATATGTAGTCGTAATTGAGTTCTGACACAGCCTTGGATGTTTCTGTCCTAAATAGCTGACATTGCATCTTCAAGACTGTGTGAGTAATCCTGACTTTTTTTTTTTCTAAGATCAGTAAATTAATTACATGCCCTGGGAGGGAGTGATTGTAAGTAGAAAATACTGAACTAGCAGATGATTCGTTTTTAAGGTGCTGTACTATGTGTATCAAGTTCAAGGTGAGGAATCTGAACGCTTCTAAGACCTGGCAGGGTTATTCCAGCTTTGTGCCATGAATCACAGTCAAGCTGCATTTTGAAGGAGGCTGTTTGATGCGTTTGCTAACTCTGTTTGTATTTGGGGTCAGTAAAGTGACAAAGGTCCAGCAGGATGCTGGGATCAAAGCAGTGACTTAGAGAGCTCGTGAGTCAGGCAAGTTTTAAGGTTTCCCCTCCCCTACTATCTCAGTCCAAAACTGAGAGCGAGCAGCAAATATCATAACAAATGCTTTAGGGACATGGGTACACAGCAGATAGAGCACAGAAAAAGGAGAAATGTAAAATGATGGCAGCAATACTTTTCTTCACTGTAATCTGAAGCCAACTGAAGACATACACTATGAATAACTAGAACATATTTGTATGAACAAAAATGCTCTTCAGTGGTTCTGTTTATGTGGTAGAGGGCTGAATGAAAAAACCATGAGCTTTTTTTAAAAAGCCTTATAAAAAGTACATTAAACACACACAGACACAACCATAATAGAAGAAAGTATGTGGATTGGAATTTGCGTTTGGAACAGATCAAATTAAACTAGAGAAGCCGTTGTTAGGTTTGTGTGATTGCTGGGGGTAACTTCTGCTGCTGACAGGTTTAGGATAAAGCTGGAGCAGATTGATGTGAAAAACTAGAAAACATCAGCATTTCATTACCTTCTATAGCATATGCTGCAGAATAGAATTAACACTGAGTAGAGACTGGTAAATGTGAGCAGTTCATTTTTTCCTTTTATATCATTGTTGATTTCTCCTAGCCTATCATAAAAAATAATAGGACTTCTGCCTATGAAATCAGTGCTTAGAAATGTTTTTCTTCCTCCCAAATAATTTTCATAGTTTTTCTCAATACAGCACAAAGGTAGGTCATTTAAAAAAAAAAAAAAAACATTTGGGTTGTTTTTCAAGTTGCTTTTTGTCTAATTTTTCCTCTTTACACATATAGATACAAGTGTATATATTTGTGCTATGTATCACTCTCAAACATAAATCATTACAACAGTTTTAAAAATCACAGATTCCTGGGGCAAATATAAACTTCTAATGGCTACAGTTGGTAATTACTTGCCAGTTCCTATAAAAATAACATTAGTAGTTTATTTTTGGTTGCACCCATTTAAACAACTTGCATGGTTTAGCCAGTAGGAGAAAAATATTAGTTGTGGCTTTGCATAATTTCTTGTTAAGATCACACTGGAAATGCAAAGTTTTGTTGTTATAAATGTTTTTGCTGGCTGGGCACGGTGGCTCATGCCTGTAATCCCAGGACTTTGGGAAGTTGAGGCAGGTGGATCACCTGAGGTCAGGAGCTTAAGACTAGCCTGACCAACATGGAGAAAGCCAGTTTCTACTAAAAATACAAAATTAGCTGGGCGTGGTGGCGCATGCCTGTAATCCCAGCTACTCCGGAGGTTGAGGCAGGACAATCGCTTGAACCTGGCAGGCGGAGGTTGTGGTGAGCCGAGATCACGCCATCACAATCCAGCCTGGGTAATAAAATGAAACTTGGTCTAAAAAAAATTATTTTTGCTTTCTGAAATATTACTCCCTTTTAGATCATACTAATGAATGAAGTTTATAAAAAGAAAGGTAAGTAGCCAACATAGACTCCTTTCCTGTATCAACCAAATATATGCAAAATAGATTTTTTAAAATGTAATTTCAATGCATTCCTTTACAAACACATTTACTTTAATGAAGAAACGGTATAATAAATTCATTTATTGACCCAAAATAGCAAGTTGATTTATTGAGTTTTTGTAGCCATAGACACGAATAGTACTGTTGGCTCATTCTTAGCTATACATTCCTAACTGATGTATTAGTGGAAGAAAGGAGTGCATCTATAAAAGAAATATAATCCCATCCCTCAAAATGGTTTGGAGCCCATCTAAGAGTGGTAAGTGGTGGAGTGGAAGCTACTTTATCTGAATTAGCTCTGACTTTAGCTCAGCTCCTCTTTTTCCTTGGGTCCATGTGGCTCACTCGGTGTGGCATTCACATCTCCCCCCATCTTTTCTGGCCTTGATTATTTATATTACCTTGCTTGGGCCCTTAGTGTCACGAATCACATAAAAATGCTTAATTATCAAACATTAATCAGCTGCCTATAGAATTAAGAGGGTGTTTAAAAGCAAGGCTCAGGGAAATGCTGGTGGGTGTGTACTAGGAGTATTTACATCTTGCATCAGTACTTTCCTCTGGGACCTCCATCTCTTCAGTTCTCCCTGAGATGCCAGAGTCACATCTCTTACTTGTGAAAGAACACAGCTTTACGAAAAGGAGTCAAGAGGCACCAGGTGCCCAGTGGACAGTGGGCTGGAGGCAAGGCTTGGTGAAGAAAGCAAAAAAATCTACCGAACAGCAATAGTTTATCTTTCTTCTATCCACTCCTCTCAATTTGCTAAAGCCATTTTTGTCTAACTGTGGAAGTTCTTTTGCAGATCAGGTTCTGTAAAACTATGCATATCTGCCACAGACAGATGGATTTGACAAAAGATGTATCCAAAAAGGAATGTATCACATCATGAACTTGCTAAGTGTTCATGAATACACACTGGCATTTGGAGACTATTAACACTACCTACTGAAGTAATGACATAAATCCAAACTGAAAAAAATATTATTTCTTGATTGAATTACATTTTCCAGTGGGTTTTTTTTTTTTGGCGACTTTTGTTTTTGGAAAACTTGCTCTTCCTTCCAACGTTTTTCCTGTGTTATATATAGGACTGATTTGATTGCTTCATCTTGCCCAGGAATTTAATTATTCTTACTTGGAGTTTTCAAAAGAGTTGCTGTCTACCTCGAGCATGTTTTTAGAAAAGCAGAAAACAACAAAACAAATGAAACAAATGTTCCCCTTCCCAAAGGAAAAGCTCACCACCAAGGAGTTAAATGCCTTAGATTTGTTTAAGTCCCTCCCTTTGTGGAGCTAGACACTGGTGGAGGAGGAGCTTTCATTTAATTTCAAGACAATCAATGATTCCAATTTAATTGTAACTGTTCTTCTAATTTCTGATTTAAAGAAGCAGAATATTTTGGTGACTTAATCATGAATTCAGTGGACCATGCTCAGGCTACGAAACGTTTTCTAAACCTCAGTCTCCAGGTCTGTAAAATGAAAATAATGATAAATGTTCTGGATTGGTGAATAGCCACATCACAATGAGAAAGTGCTTGTTAAAAGAACATTGTAATATGTAATTTGTAATGTGGTGTATAACTACACTCATAATGACTGTAGCTCATTATATTCCCAGTAATGGACAAAACTTTTGAAGCAATGAAAATCTTCCGTGTTTGGTCTTAATGTTATGAAGGTTTTTGGAGCTTTAATGCTGATCCATCTATTACTTGAGTATTAAAAATACCAATTGGTTCACTGTGATAAATGAATGTGGCATTGTATGTGAGAACATATTTCAAAAACCTCCACATGTCATATAAATGTTACATATTGTAACAATTATCAGCAGATTAATAAAAATTGTTTGCAAATTTTCAATGTTTAAAATGGAAAATGTCAGATATATCATTGATTAGATTGACTAACTTTCTAAGCTATGTCTGCTTCTCTCAAACAGGATGAATGTTCTTGATGGTTAAGCTTGTGCTGTAATTTTCTTTCCACTTAGATATAGCACTAAGCCAATAGTTAGATAAGCATTCCTTCACAGCCTACATTTAGAACTGCCAGTGACGAAGTTTTGGAGGACATATTTTCCTCACAGGAAAAAGTGCGTTAGGAAATTTAGACTGACAGATGTTCTTGCTTTTTTTTAAAATTCCTGTCTTGACTCTCATTATTTAATTTTGCTAAGGAAATAATCATCTAGTTTTTAAGGTGATGCTTACTCCTAGTAGGTCATTTCATTTCTGGGATAAAATGGTCAAAATGACTTTCCGAATGATTTGAAAGATCAATTAGCAGTTTTGAATTCCAGATTTTCAGGTGGTTCTGCTTTGGAAAATCATTATCCTTTCTGGAATTAATGTCCATAGCTGCATCCTAGATTTCAGTGGTTTGAGCTCACTGCTGTTGTAAGTTTGATGATTTCCTAATAGCAATATAGGTTAGGCTAAAGCAGTTACCCATTTCACCTGTTGAACCCTTCTTTAAAAAAACAGATGAAATTATAGACTAATCATGATAAGTAAAATATATTAAAATGGGATGGATTATTTCCCACTTTTATCTCACACAGCTCACCCAGGGAGGTGAGTGAACTTCTAGGAGTGAAACAATTTCATTTGTAGTACTATTTGAAAACTGGTTCTAGGACCATTGACTTGACTTTTTTGTGTCTTTGGTCATGGATAAGAACACTTCTTCAGTAATTTAAAACTATAGTGAAATAATGTGTTTTTTTAACTTCTCAATAAGATTTTATTTATTTAGCAAAGATCAGGAGTTAGGTGCTAGAAACACAAAGATGAACAAGACATGGTTTCCTCAAGGAGCTTTTAACCTAGTAGACATTTATTTTGTGTTTGCAGAACTTTTAGGATAATTCTCAAAGGAGAAGGGTTATTTATGAGGTTGCCACTCTTCTCCTCAAAATACTTACTATGTTAATATCTGTCATATATACAGAAAGTACTGGATAGAAATTATTAATTTTCCTAGCTGGGCGTGGTGGCTCGCGTCTGTGGTCCCAGCTACTTGGGATGCTGAGGTGGGAGGATCACTCAAGCCTGGCAGGTCCAGGCTGCAGTGAGCCATGATTGCAACACAGCATTCCAGGTTGGATGGGCAACAGAGTGAGGCCCTATCTTCCACCCACCCTCAAAAAAGAAATATAGAAATTTTCTTATAAAAGTT